AGCGGCGGCGGCGGCCTCGCCTCCATGGCGAGGAGAAGCGGCTCAGGAGCGACTGGGCGGGCGGCGGTGATGGCGGCGGCGGCCCCGGGTCCGGGCTGGGTCGCGCGCGCGTCTCTGTCAGTGCCGCGCTCGCCGCAGCCTCGCTCCCGACCTGGCCTGGGCTGTAAGGCGCCTCCTCATTGGCGGTTCAGAGACGGGCTCTGATTGGCCCACACCGAACGGGCGTCTCCGGCTCTCGCGGGCCCCGCCCTTGCGCGCCTCCGAGCGCCGGCTCGCCCGCATCGGGATCAGAGCCGGATCTCACGGTCTTTGCGTCTCCGGGTCTCACGCTTGGCCTGGGAGATGTGCGCCCCACGGCAGCCCACTCCTCAGGGAAGCGGGACCCCGGGAGCACCGGCCGTCCGTGCACCAACGCCTTCCTCCTCTCTACAGTCCCAGCCCCCTGGACTTGGGCCATCTTCCCAGTTTACAGATGCGGAAACTGAGGCCAAGTACAATTTACACCAATGTCTAGAGCCCAGGGCGGCCTGGAACTCAAAAGCCGCCTCCCCACCCCTCTCTCCAAACGTGTTCCATTCGGACTATTTTTTTTTTGCTAATTGCTGCAAGGTATTTAAAGGAGCAAGGCTCTCACTGGGGAGAGAGGAACCTGCAGAGCTCCTGAAACAGGCCTGGCATCGTGGGTGTCATCTTACATCAAGTCGGCCCACACCATCCCCACCCGAGCCCCAGGGAAATCTCTCCCGCTTTCCAGGTGCGCGTACTGGGGCCTGCCTCGCCACCGAGCCGGTAGAAACACGACACTTGGCGCTCTGCGGTGGGGGTGTCGTTTACGATTGGCCTGGAGATGGAGGGGAGGTTCAAAGCGCGAAGAGGACCAGGAGATGCGTCCCCACTCTGGGGCCGGGAACGGGGTCGGGTGGCGGGAGCGGACCTTCTCCCCAGCGCTCCCCGCCCCACGTGTGGCGCCCAAAGCCGTCCGTCCGTCCGGCGGTAGCGGGTTCCCAGGCTGCAGGACCTGGGAGACCGGAGCAAAAGGCCGATTACACAGTCGTAGTGGGAGACACTTTCCTGATTGTGGCCCCCACGCGGGGTCCCTCGGACGCACCGGGACCCGTACAGGGAGAGTGGCTGGGCGTTAGTAGGCCGGAGCTTGCCGGCATACCCTTCATTCCAGACCCAGAGACTGCACTGCCTGGGGTGGGTGGAGGTAAGCCTCTCCTCCAGGCTCACAGCCCCTGAGCCCCCTTCTCCCAACCCCCGCTGGGCAGAGTCCCACGTTCAGCGCGCCCCAGGGCAAGGTTCTGTGGCTGGCGGCTATTCTTCATGGCGGGGAGGGTGTGGTGGAAGGGACATTTCGGCACAGGAGAAGGAGCCCACATTTCCACGGGGTTGGTGCCCCTGCCACCTCCAGTCCCCACCACTGCCTGCAGTTGGGGCACCAATTTAGGGCTCTGTGCAACCGCCTCCCCCACCCGTATGTATGGAATATGTGAGTGTATGCTGACTGGAGCCACGGCCTGGGAATACCGGGTGCGATGGGCCTCCTTCAGGCCATCCCAAGCAGGGAAGCCCCTACTTAAGTGAGCTGACCCAGAGGTGTGTGAGATGGCCAAACCCAAGGCGCCTCTGCCTGAGAGACACTTCCTTGCCAAGGAGGGCAGGTTCTTCCACACACCCACTCTTCATGTTTCCCAGGAAGTCCAAACTCAGTCTATCTGCACACACAATGGAAAAGTGAAAACCTGAACTCAAAAGTGTTATGAAACTCTGAAAAATAATGACCGTGAGTGCAGGAGGTACCTGGGTAGCTAGGATACCCACACCCTATGACCAAACCCCACCAGGTTAGTTTTACCTTATCTATGTCTGATCTACACTATTATTTCTTAATATGTTTCTTTTGGTTAATTTATTTATTTGTAGTTTTACTTATATTCCCATAAAAGGGTTTGACATGCTACTTATATTTTCTAACATATATTGAAATAAATAGCTATTAAAATAAAAAGTGTTCATCCTTGAGATCATCTGAAGGATCCCCACCCCATCTGACCACACTTGGGAAAATGCTGCAGTTGGGTGTGGGAGTCAGAGATCCCTGCAGTTCAAGCCTCACCATTGGCTGGGTGACCTGAATCTCCCTCTGCTACTCTTCTTGGAACCTCCCAGGGCTGTACTGAGAATTACAGGCATGCACAGCTTGGCAAGTAACCCATTCTCAGGAAATGCAGTTCCTTCTCTCCATGAGACAGCTGCACTGTGGTCAGAGCATTTGTGGTGTGTGTGCAGGGGTGACAGAAACTCAGACTGAGGAGAGGCAGGGTCTTGGGTGTCCCATTCTGGAGACCCTGGGAAGGAGAGTTCAGCTCGGCAACCACATAGATCCTGACTCCAGTGGAAGAGGAGAGAGTCCCATCCTTAGTTGCCCACCTGTGGAGGCCTGCCCAGCCTCCCCATCCTACCCGCTGCCTGGCATGTCCAAAGCTTCCCCCCTTCACCAGAGAACAAAGAACTGTCTTCAAAGAGGAGCGAAGGAGAGAAGAAGTGAGAGGGAGGGGAGGCAGGCTTCCTGTACCCAGGCCCGCCCAAGTGGGAAGCTGAAGCCCTGCTCCTGGTCCTGCTTTAGTCCCAGCCCACAGGCACACACACCTACAAGTAGGCACTTGTCAGCCACACCACAGGTGCCCCAGGAGTTACAGGGTTCATGAGAAAAGGACTGGACTAGAAGGAGAACTGGAAGATGGAGGTAAAGGACTCCTGTTTCTATAGGCAAGTCACTTCCCCTCTAGGGGCCTCCTTTCCCCATGAAGTAAATGGAACAATGAGTCATTCACTCAACAAATACTTATTGAGTACAGACCATGTGCTGGACACAGCAGGGAATAAGACAGAAAAGGTCTCTGCTCTCAGGAACTTAACATTCTGGATGGGCCAATGAGACAATAAACAAACAAGTGAACAGGAAAACTTCCCAAATGCTGTAATGAAAATAAAGCAAGGCAATAAGATAAAAAGTTGAAGTAAATGAGAGCCAAGCGCCTTTCCAGGCCACAGTTCTACTCCCAAGGGCCATTCGCCAGAGCTTTGTACCTAAAAGAGACTGCAGCCCTGAGAAGGTGGCTTGTAGGAGCCTTTGCCCTGACCCTCACTCCAGGGCTGCCACTGATATCCTAAACTAGAAGAAATGTTTCCACATTCTCTGCCTCCAGCACCAAAATCCTGGTCCCAGAGCCCAATCCTAGCCCCATTCATTGGCCAAGACTTTGCCTCACCCATGATTATAGGCTCAGGTCTGCTGTACAAAGCCCTCAGAGTAGAGGCATTTTACACTAATTTCAATTGATCTGTCAAGGATTTGAAAAAATCCTGGTTGTTTTTAAAATATCACTATTTATGTGTATGCATTTGTCAAAACTCAGCAAATGTACACTAAAGATCTGAGCATTATATATAGATTTTGTCTGAAAAGAAAGAAATTGCGGGGCCTGCCAGGTGGTGTAGTGGTTAAGTTTGCGCACTCCGCTTCTGGAGGCCCGGGGTTCGCAGATTTGGATCTCAGGTGTGGACCTACGGCGGCTCATCAAGCCATGCTGTGGCAGGAGTCCCACAAAAATTAGAGGAAGATGGGCATGGATGTTAGCCCAGGGCCAATCTTCCTCAGTAAAAAATAGGACTGGCAACAGGTGTTAGCTCAGGGCTAGTCTTCCTCACAACAAAAAAAAAGAAAAAGAAAAAAATTGCAAACAAATAAACTCTAGTTAATGAAATGCATCCTGAAATATTTAGAGCTAAGCGTACTAATGAGTGCAACTTACTTTGAAATGCGTTACAAATACGCCAGATTAATAAGATGGACAGAGGGATAGATAGATGTACGATAAATTAACTATAGTCATGTGTCACTCGATGGGGGTATGTTCTGAGAAATGTGTCGTTAAGCAATTTTGTCATTGTGCAAACATCGTATAGTGTACTGAAGGGGAACAAAATTTGCCACCCTAAAATGTGTCTCTATAACATTATTTTAGGCTGATTATTTTTAAGAAACAGAAGACTGAGAAAGTTTTTATCTTCCCCTTAACTGCCCCAAAAAATTCAGATAAAAAAACCTGTCTCAGGAAGCGAGCTACCACCTTAGCATAACATGAACTGGGTGGTAGACAGGGAGGAACCTAGAAAACCCTGTTTATTGGGCTCCCCTCTGCGTTCTGTTTCTACGTGGCCAAACACACACTTGTTTTCCAAATGTTTGCTTCTTTTCACCTACCTTTGAATTGCCTCCCTTTTCTTTGAAGTCCCTGACTCTCCCCACCCCCAACATCTTTTGTCTTTAGCTGAGGATGGTATTTAAGGTAAGAGCTTTGGCCATTTTGGCAAGTTACTCAGTTTTCCTGAGTTTTTCCCATGTATACATGTTACTAAACTTTTGTTTTTCTCCTGTTCATCTTTCTCATGTCAATTTAATTCCTAGACCAGCCAGAAAAACCTAGAAAGGTAGAGGAAAATTTCTTCCTCCCCTACAGTACTTACACAAACCTAGATGGTATAGCCTACTACACATCTAGGCTACATTACTAATCTTAAGGGACCACTGTCATATATGGGGTCTGTTCTTGTCTGAAACATCATTATATGGTGCATGACTATACAGTAAAATGTTAATGGTAGAATCTAGGTGGTGGGTATATAGGTGTTCCCTGTAAAATTCTTTCAACTTAGGTGTATGTTTGAAAGTTTTTATGATAAAACGTTGGGGGAAAAATCAGTGTTTAACTTTACAAAAAAGTACACAAACTGCCTTCTATTTTCAAACAACTCTCCCCATGAACAATTCCAGTGCTTCTCCACATGCATACACTTTTTATGAAGTTGTAATCACTATGTTTTATAAATGTTATCATTGTTATTTCTCATATATTTATAAAACTTCATGTGCACAGCAATTAATGTCTCCACGTCACATGAGTAGATATGCTGTATGTTACTTTGGGAACATAGGCTTTTTATTGTGTACATTCTAAATGCACTGCCCAGGGGCCGGCCCCATGGCTTGGAGGTTAAGTGCGCGCGCTCCGCTACTGGCGGCCTGGGTTCGGATCCTGGGAGCGCACCGATGCACCATTTGTCTGGCCATACTGAGGCAGCGTCCCACATAGAGCAACTAGAAGGACATGCAACTGTGACATACATCTGCCAGGGCTTTGGGGAGAAAAAGCAGGAGGACTGGCAATAGATGTTAGCTCAGGGCCGGTCTTCCTCAGCAAAAAGAGGAGGATGGCATGGACGTTAGCTCAGGGCTGATCTTCCTCACACACACACACAAAAAAAAACCACTGCCCAGGGCCCCCCTTCCAGAGAGGGTTGACTGGGTTGTATGGTACCAATCCTTTTTCACTGAGAACTAGAAAAGCTGGAGAAAACTTTTTTTTTTTGTTTTGGTGAGGGAGATTAGCTATGAGCTAACATCCATTGCCAATCTTCCTCTTTTTGCTGAAAAGATCAGCTCTGAGATAACACCTGTGCCCATCTTCCTCTATTTTGTATATGGGATGCCACCACAGCATGGCTTGATGAGCAGTGCATAGGTCCACACCCAGGATCCGAATCTGCGAACCCTGGGCCGCCGAAGCGGAGCGCGTGAACTTAACCACTTCGCCACTGGGCCAGCCCCTGTAGAAAACATTTTAAAAAGGCATGAAAGAGCTATCAGGGCAGTGAGGAGTCGTGGGCCCAAGACTGGGGAGGAAAACAGTACAGAATAATGAGCCCAGTATTCTGGATCTCCTTTCCTCTCCCCAGAGGTGTCTGCTGATTCTAAGAGAGAAGCCTGATAGGCTGTGCCAGATTGATTCCAAAAACTGGCCACATTTCCAGTTCTACGCACTCTTCCAGAGCTTTGCTACTCCCCTATCAAGAGGTAGAGTCTATTTCCCCTTGAAAATGGGTGGGGTAGGTCTATGTGACTGCCTTGACTAGCAGAATGTGGCAGGTGTGACTCCCAAAGCTAGGTTAGGCAAGGTAGTATGGCTCTGCCTGGCTCTCTTGGGATGCTGCCCTTGGGACCTGGCCGCCATATTGTGAGGTACCACAGGTTGTAGGTGTCCTGGCCAGCTAAGGTGCCAGTCAACAACCAGCTTCAACTGCAAGACTCATGAGTTACCAAGCCTTCAGATGATTTCAGCCCCCAGCTGTCAAGTCACCCCAACCTTTGAATCTTCCAGCTGATTTCCCAGACGCTGTGGAGAAGAGACAAACCACCATCTTATCCTGTTCAAATTCTTGACCCACATAATTAGTGAGCATAATAAATGGTTGTTTTACAATTTGATTTATATCCCCTTAGAGGATTTTCACAAACTTACATTTACAAATCAGGTGGCGGAAGAAAAAGAAAAAGAAACCCCTTACCAGGCTGAGTCTCTTTTTAGCATGGTCAGTCCTAAGGGCGTCAAAGAGGGGAAAGTGGGAAGCTCCAGTGAGGCCTGCCCTCCCTCAGGGCTTTGGTTTCCTCCTTTGTCTTCCTTATAGACTAAGGCAGCGACAAGAGGAGAAGGTAATGCCCTGCGTTGGGTAAGGGCGCTGGGTCATGAAGCCAAGGTGCACCGGGGTGCAAACTGAAGGCTAAAGATAGGGGACTGGAGGGTCAAGCTGCTCCTACCGACTGCGGATGAAGCCTCCACTGGGGGGAGAGTGTAGCCTTGGGGTCTCCAGTTTGTAGTTCTTCCTTGGAAGAACTGATATCTTCCATCTCCTTTTCTCTTCAGCCCAGAGACCACTCAGGAACTGCTCACCACTGTTCAGTGCGCAGGGTTTCCAAAGGCACCTCCTCTAACCCCTCCAAGCTGCTGGCCACAAGACTCTCATTAGTACTCCAACCCTCACTGTAATGCAAACCCGGGGCCTTGCCCCAGGCTCCCCTGCTCACAGAGGGCCCAATTTTAGTTCCAGCTCTGAGTCATCCCTCCTCTGTCACCGCAGCAGTCAAGGAGCAGCTCTAAGACCCCCAAATGCCCAACCTGGTTGCAAATCACAGTTTTGCCACATACTCACTGTTACTGAACCTCCCTGGGTCCTCAAATTCCTCTTCTGTAAAATGGAGTGATGTTACCTATCTCACAGGGCTGTCATGTGGAATAAATGAAATAGCAATGGTAAAGTGTTGTGTGTGTGTAATGCTTTTCAGTATGGTTTTTGATGAGCTGGTGTTTACTAAGTTCTGTGCCATCTCTCCCCATAATCTTCCTAGGGGCTGTGAGCTTGAGAGGGCTTTCCTTGGTAACTGTGCATAGGGGCAGGTCTCTTGTAAATGTCCCTAGAGAAGCTCCCCCTCCAGCCCCAACACATTTTTCTTTGCCGAGGTGTCTGGATGGTCCCTCAGCTTGCTTTCATTTAGGCTGGACTGCATAAGACTAGCACTCTAACATGTTCCAACTTTATTTACAACCAGACCCCACCCTAGCTCCTCGGCTTTGCTCTGAGGGAGGAGCTGGATGAGCAGAGATACTTCTGCCAAGCGCAGGGCTTGGGGAGATGTGCAGGGTGGGCCCCTCACTTCTTCTGGGCTTGTGCCCTGGCCCGCTGAATCTTGTCGGCTGTGGCCCCATCTGCGGCTCCAGTGCAGTGAGACAGTACGAGGCTCAGCTCTGCCTCGTTCCGGTGCTCGATGGCCACGTCTGCAGCCTGAGCCACATCCCTGTGGTTTGAGCAGGAGGGGAGATGGTGTCAGGCTGCCCAAGGACACAAATCGTGCCCCTCATCAGCCCACTGGCTCAGCCACCCAGCACCCACAGGGCTCAGCTGACATACCCAATGAGAAGCAAGGCCTTGACCTTCTGTTCAGGACCCACGCGGGAGGTGTACTTCTTGGCTTCATATTTGTTGTGTTGCTTCATGCAGATCTCCACAAAGGGCTTAGGAGAGGAAGGGGGTTGAGGGAGAAGATAAGGCAGAGCCCTTCTGTCCTCTCTCTTATGAGCAAAAGCCCAATGGATACGTTGTCCTTATATATTTTATATACACATCAGTATGTATAATCCTGCCCCACCTCATCCTGACACACACACAACAGCTGTGATCTCAACTCTATCACGGCAGAAACAACCTATACCAAACACCTGTTAGAGCTTTGAGACCAATTATTTCCATGTGTCCACTCCATCATCCACTGCCACCCCCTCACAACAAGCGTCTCCTGCCCTCTCAGGGCCTGTTTTTTCTCTCATGGCTGCCCTTATCCCACCTACCCACACACCTCTGAACTGCCTGCTACAGAAAGCAAACCTCCTCAATATCCTCCACTGCCTGGCAGGTGTGCCCTCCCTGCCCCCTCCCCTCACTCAAATACAACATTCCCTCAAGCCCATGGGGTCCTCTGGTGGCCCTTCTTGGGGACAGCAACTCATTCTCCTTCCTTCCAACATCTGCAGGCAGACTCGGGCCTATTATCCCATGTACCTGGCCCATGAACACGCATACCTAGGAAGTACCCACTAACTACAAGGGATAGCTGAACAGGTACAAGATTAGGCCAGGCTGCCTATCTCCGGGCCTGGGCCTCTCCCCAGAACTACTCTCCTGGGGGTGGGGTGGAAGGAGGGCCCCCGCCTCACCAGGTAGCCGATGGGTGATTTCTTGCTCTTAGAAAACTTCTCTAGCTCCTCCCAGTCTTCCAGATCTGCCAGGGCAGTCAGCTTCAGCCACCAGAGCCTGTAGGAAAGCCGGGCTTGGAGGTGTTGCAGGAGGGGCAGGTGATCCCAAGACCTCTGCAACCCGGGCCCTCACCTACCTCTTGTCAGGGATGCGGAAGTCACGTGCCAGCTGCTCTGCGCGCTTGTTGTGTCCGCTGAGGATGAGGCTGGTGACCGTGTCGTGTAGAGACAGGTCTAGGAACTGGCCCCCCAACTCATCTTCTAGACGTCGCTGCAGCCGTAGGAGCCTCACTTGGTCCTCTGTGGCCTGGGGACCAAGATGAGGCAGGATGGGGATGAGAGGAACAAGAAGGGAAGACTGGGAGGAGAGGAGGTTCTTAGAAAAGGGTGGGCCAAACCTTGGCTGCAAACTCATTCTTGGCCTTGTAGAAGGCATCAGCCGCCGTCTGCAGGGCTGCGACTCGCCCCTCGATACGCTACAAGGGCAAGAAGGGAAGCCTGAGCTCACAGCACAAAGGACCTCAGCCCTCTCCACCAAGGCTACAGTTTTCTCCCTGATCTCTGTGCCCAGGGTCACCAGGGCCAGCCTTCCCCACTGGGTACCTGGCTCTGGTGTCCCTAGTGGGAAGGCTAGCTCCTCTGGGACCAACCCCCATCCTGGCCTCACGTCTTCCCAGACTCTCCCTCAACAGTGAGGACCAGATGGGGTATGCGCCAAATACTCTCAGATTCCTGGAGAAGGAACCAGACCAAAACCCCATCCCCTGGGCCCCACCCGCTCTGTGGACTTCAGACCTCCTCTGCAGCATAGCTGGCTCGGATGTGGAAGCTGCCCAGCTCCTGGTGGTTGTCATCCTGATTGTAAAGGTCCTTCAGCGTCTCTAGCTCCTGATGCTTACAGAACTGGGGCCACGGGCAGGCAGTCAGTCAGCCAGGCCAACTCAGGGGCTCAGGAGGCTCCAGCCCCACCCCTGCCCACCACACACACCTGCCGGTACAAACTCAGGGCCATGGGCTGGTTCCGAAGGGTCATGAAAAAATCTCCTCGGTTCAGCTCATTCTTCAGGTGCAGCAATACCGTGAACACTATGGGATGATGAAGTGGGGTAGGGCCTTCAGCTCGGCCCCTCGCTCAGCCCAGCAGCCCCGGCCTTGCCCTCACCCAAACTCTGCTCACCCAGGTCAGTGTCCCCACTCTCGATGGCCTTGCTCAGTGCCAGTTTGCTCCTCTTCATCTTTAGGAGAAGGGGTACCTGCTCCCCAGAGCGTGGCTCATACTCCAGCAGCTGTGGGGTAGGGAGGAAGGCACAGAGAGAACGAGCTAGCCTGAGGGCCTCCAACATCCACATCAGAGTGTCTGGGGAGGGCTGGGCACCCACACCTTGATGGCCAGCTCCGTGCGGCCACAGCCATAGGCTCGCGCAGCAATGTCGGAGTAAGAGACGCCAGGCGTGTCCCCTAGCTTCTGGTTAATGGCCCGAGCAACATCTTCATCGGACACGTCCTTCTGTTGCACCTGCAGAGAGAGAGGGGTGTCACACACGTGGATCTCACCCCTCACTGGCCCTCAATCAGGACTCACCACTTCAGCTCCACACTTTATATTTCCTACACCTCACCAGGGCCTGGAATCCCCTAAATGCCCTTGAACTCCATCCTAGACCTTCACCTTGTAGCAGGCCCAGTGGGCTAGGATCCTGCTGACACCCTGCACTTCTGGAAGGCGCAAGTACTCGCATATCTGGATGGCTAGGGGGTAAAGCCTCCGCAACACAAGCCTGCAGACAAGGGGGAGGAAGAGTACAGGGGTGAGGTGAGCAGAGAGAGGGGGCAGAGTGGCCTCAGACTGTAACTCAGACCTCCCAGATCCCAGAGAAATGGGTCAGGAGCAGTGAGCACAAGAGCCCAGCAGGGGCTGTAATGCCCACCCCCTCCAGGCCTCCTCCCAGCACCCACGGGCTTGCTGTACCTGTCCAGCAGCACCGGAATGGTGAGCTGCTTGTATCTGCATTTTACTCGGTTAAGGATCCAGCTGGGGAATAACTCTATTTGCCAAGGACCTTCAGGTGGCATCTTCAGCCCCTTACCCATCCCCTCCCACCCCTGGCTGTAAACACCCTTCCAGCATGCTTGGGGATACTGGCTATAGGTGAGGGGGATCCCGATGTGATAGTCCCGAACGGCATTGAGAACACGCAGGTCCTGACACATGCGCACGAAGCTGTCGGGTGGAAATCTGTCGAGGAAACACTTTCCAAAGGAGGCCGCCTGAGAAGAGCCAGAGGGCAACAGAGGAGAGCTTCCCCCCCTGCCAGCCCACCCCTGCCCAGTGTCCCCTCCCTCCAGCCCTGCCATCCAGGCCAACCCTGAGCAGACTCTTCTGCATGTCTGGCCGGTGCTCATGTCCCGCAGCCTCGATGCACTGCTGCACGGCCTGGGTCAGCTGCCCCAGCTCCTGGATCTCCCGCAGGTACTCATCCGCCTTCTGGCTTTCTTTCTGGGGTGTGGGGGGAGGAGAATGCCAGGGACAGAGCATCATGACAGAGAATATCCCCATGTCTGACCCCCAGCCCTTCTGGGCTATAGATCAAGTGAGCTGGTTTGGAGGGGCTGCAGAGGCTGGAACGCAAACCCCTTCAGCCCCCTCAGTCCACCCCAGGTGCCCACACATCCCCCCATATCAGCCCACAGTTGCCTGTGAGGGGCCCTGAGACCTCTCAATAGTAGCCCTGACTTGTGCCTGGGCTGAGAATAGTGGGGGGTCCCCCTCCCCATCACCACCTGGCAGACATCATGTCCCTTCAGCCAGCCCTCCCCAGCCCAGCCCAATGTCCAGCCTGGACCCCTCTCTTGACTGGTGGCACCTGGTTGTGCTCACCCATGCCCAGGCAGGTAGGGGGCTGGCCCAATCAGGGGTAAGGGAAGGAGGAGAGCATCCTGGGGCCCAAAAAGCAGCCCAGGGCTTTACCTCATACTCCTTCTGGGCCTCCAACAGCAGTGCTCCAGGGGCCATTGACGCAATTTTGAAGATCTCCTCACTGGCCACTGGGGGAGGAAGTTGGTGAGTAGCAGAGGGAAGTGGGAGGGGAAGGAACCCCCAGCCCTGCCTCAATGCCCTGATCCTGCTCTGGGGCAAACTGGCCCAGGGCAGCTGTGGTGCTGAGGAGCCCGTGCCCTGGGTCACGTGGTGCCCTTGTGAGGACCTCACCTGGAACCTCGTGCAGGAACTCGTGGGTGCTGCGGGAGAAGATGCGGACCCCGTCCAGCTCAGGCACCAGGTAGGAATCTTCGTCCAGCACAAACTTGAGCTTGGTCAAGGTTCCCCAAAGCACCCAGAGATGGGACAGGGCAGGTGACCTCCTCCTCTTTCTGCCTCCCACCCCTACCAGCAGCCCTCCAAGGATATTGGATGCTCTCGGGTGCATCACCCACCACCATTAGCCGCCTCTCCCAGGCCACCACAACGGCCTTCTCCTTGCTGCGAGGACGGCTGCACCTGTGGGCAGCACCACACACGCATATGTCTGGGACACTCACAGGACGCCAGGCCCACA